AGGGAAGGGAAGGGAAGGGAAGGGAAGGGAAGGGAAGGGAAGGGAAGGGAAGGGAAGGGAAGGGAAGAAGTAACATGCAGGGTTGCAAAGCTGAGGCCTGGTTCCATCTTTGCCCAGGTGCAAAGATGTGCATTGTTTACTGAGGGCTAATGATCCCAATTTGGCAGGATGAGGCTCAGCAGTAACAGTGATAATAATAATAATAATGATACTTAGCAGTTATTGCCATGATGCTTCCACTAAATCGATTTAGAAAGCATCATTATTTTATTAAGCATGCTTATGTTTATTCTTCCATTAAATTAAGATTTGCCCATCAGAGCTCCATTAGTTAACGGATGCGTTGCCAATGGCTGCTGCTGCCAGGAGCATGGAAACACCAAGCTCCTGATGGCACTTGAGGCTGGCTGGGAGCTGTGGAGGTGCCTTTGCATCACTTGTGGCACCCATCTTTCAAAGGGGCATTCTCCTCATGGGAGCCACATGAAGATCCCCCTCCACCTCCCAGGGGTTGCTCATGTGCCATGGTGCTGCATCTCCTCTTGCGCGATCCACTTGGGAAAGAGATGAGCCTTGCACAGGTATTGTCACTGCCAGATTTTCATCTCACCTCCTCACATGTGTGTTCCAGGTACCCCCTGGCCTGGCCCTTCTGTGCCTTGCTGCTCTGTGTGGCAGATGCCGTGGAGCTGACAGACATGTTTGGGGAGATCCAGTCTCCCAACTTCCCTGACTCCTATCCCAGTGACTCGGAAATGACGTGGAACATCTCTGTGCCTGATGGATTTAAAATCAAGCTGTACTTCATGCATTTTGACTTGGAGTCATCCTACCTCTGTGAATACGACTATGTGAAGGTGAGCTGTGACATCTCAGGGCACATGGTGGGATAGACAGCAGAGCTGCTTGGCCAGCTGAGGAAGGGTAGTGCTGGAAAAGCTGAGAACAAGACGGTTTTCTCCATTTTATTGGGCTCAGGAGTTGTCAGTCCAGTGGACCACAGGGAGAACACAGGTAAGCTGGCAGCATCCACTGAACCAGCAGTGAGTGAGATACCAGAGTCAGAACTTACCCAGAGATGAACAAATTTCTGAAAGTATTTGTGCACCTCATTCTTACTGCACCCAATGGGATTTTCACACCTATGGGCTGATAATAAAACTGGCTAAACACCAGTTTGTGCCACTCTGATGTCAGCAAGGAGAACCTCTGAGCTAGGCACACTTTGTCAGGCCATGGCTGTGGGTGCCTCTTGCAGCCAGCCTGGATCCTTGGCCACACCTTGCAGGCTCTTGGGACACTGTCCAGCCCCACAGGAAGCAAAAGGGAAAGGTCAGACCTGAGCTTGAGGCTGCTATGGAGGTTTCCAGGGAACTGTCATGGCCAAAACCTCCAGACATTTCAGTCTGCTTCTCTGCTGAGTTATGGTAACCTACCCAAAACTGTGGTGGCCACATGCTGTTGCCCCAGAGCAACCTTGCCTTTACACCACAGGTTTCTCCAAGCAGAGCTCTCCTTCACATCCAGGACAAGGGTGGCTCTCCACATCTCTGAAAATGAAAAAGTGTGGTGCTTCTGGCTGATCAGCAGTAGCAAGCAGGTGCTTTCTAGATTGCCTGCCTGAACATACCTTACACCATCACCCAGGACAAGCTCTACCCTGATCCTTCACACAGAGGCAGGTGGAGCTTGCTCCCAGGTCTGGAACCACAGAACTTGGCCCTGGTGCTAGTTGCCAGATAATTGAGATTTTTGTTTTATTCTTGCCCTAAAAAAAACAAAGCAAACATTTGTGTGTTTTTTCCTCTAGGATCTGTTGCTCCTTGCTTTAATTTCCCCTTTGTGCTGGCACTCACTCTGCTACTAACAGCTTTCATTGAGGTTTGATTAGCTCTTTCTGCTTCTCCTGGATCTTCTCCAAACACAAGGGCCCAGGGACATATATAGAGATATATTGCTTTAAAAGCCCAGTAAGCTCAAGGAACAGATTTCTTGGAAACTTTCCCCATTCCAAGCTTTACCCCTCCTCCTGCCCTTCACCCCCTGGTCTTTTTAACTTTTTCATTAAGGCTCCCCGTTATTTGGCCATGGTGCCAACTTGGCATCACAGCTCTCCCTGCTGCTGGATTTCCATAAGAAGTAGTTATTTTTCACAGGGATTTAGATCTCAGCTGTATAAATTTGCTCGGGGCTGTAACTCAGTTTTTGGAGCCTCCACCACAGAATTACATTTGGAAAGTGATGAAAATGGATGGATTACAGGAGATCCAGAGGTTACTCTGCTGGGTAAGGCTGCAGTGTTGATGCTACTAAACCACTGGCTTAGAAAATATTAAGGAGAGAAGTGAATGATTCCGTGGCTGTTTTCTTCCTTGGGTTTATGTGTCCAGCTCTGTCTCCACCAATGCAAGCTGTAGAAACAGCATCAAACAGCCCCCTCTTTGACAGAAGCCGCAGTGCATGGCTGTAGAATATAACTATAGACCTAGCACATACAGGTGCTTCTCTGTAATATTCTGCTGGTGACAGTGAGGAAGCTCAGAAACACAGGCAGAGTTCTGTGTTCCATGGTGCCCAATGGATTCCTCATCTCTGAACTTGTACCATTGCTTTCTGAGCTCATGGGTAACTTTAATCTCTGCAGCACCACATGCCAGAGAGTCAGACAGGGTAAATATATGATTATGTGCCTCTGTGTGTGTGAAGAAACACCTTCTTGTTTGTTCAGGGTCTTCATCATTTTTACTGCCATAGGAAGCAGGTTAAAAAGGGGCTGAGCAGGTGGGGACTCAGTCCAGGACAGGCAAAATGCCCCTGTGCCCTGGTCTTTGTTTCCCTCACTCCCTGCCTGCCCACACACCCAAGCTCTTCAGCAGTGTAGAAGCTCATCCCAAGTGGCAAGCTCAGGGTGATCTGAGCTGTAAACCCACAAAGACCTCTGTCTTCGGGGTGGTCTGCAGAAGGGAACAGTTTCCAGAGCTCTGAAACAATGGCTAATTAAAACAATAGCTGTTTATTTATATATATGCACATTCACGCGTGCCTGTGTGTGTATATATATAAAAAGAACGTGGCTCCTAAAGAAATGCTCACAGCATGGGAGGCTCGTATGTGCAAATGGGGATGGCAGAGTAGGGGAGCTGCACTTCAGTAAGGAAGTGAGCCAGGAGGAATGGGAGGAACAGACATCCCCAAAATACCCACCTGGAGAAGCCCCCCATGCAGGTAGAAAACTCCAGTGACATGCTGGAGAGCCAAGCTCTGGGCCTCAGCACTGGATACAGCCTCTCCTCAGGTTTTGGGTGGCTGCTGTCAGCCACCTGCCAGGTGCGTGTGGACAGGGATGGAGCAGCCACCCTCCCTGGGCTGCCCTCTTCCTGCTCCTTCCCTTTGCTGTGCCCAGGCTCTGCCCAGCTCATCACCATCCACAGGGAACCAATCTGGGAGTTCCTCATTTGCAGAGGGTTTCACCATGGTTTGCAAGCCTGTAGCACTGGCCCAGGGCACCCAAAAAAGCCACAGCCCTGACTAGAAAATCAGGTTAAATGACTTGAACAGTGTCAGTGAGGAGCACAGTGACAGGGAAATGGGCAACAGGGTCCTGGCTTCCAAGGGACCATCATGAGTAGATCCCCAAGCTTATTACAGAGGTCTGAGCCTGGGGACCTGTCTGTGAGGTTTTGCACATTGCTCAGTCAAGCCCTGGAAATAAATCAGCCCCCAAAAGCTTGGCAGCTAGCTCCTTGATTGGAATGAAGATGGGAGGACACCCATCAATGATTGATGGGGCACTGGTAGGGCACATGCAGGACCAGGTAACAGGCTTGGTTTTTCTTTCAGGGCAGTGCATGCCCAGCCTGGGGCTGCAAGAAGGGTGCACAGGACCCATGTACACCCTCCTCTACTCAAACAAGGGACAAAAAGCACAAATCAAGGTTTGGAATGGACTGGGGGGTTCAGGAGGAGAGCATCATTTTTTGATCTTGTCAGCCAGCCCCAGCCAGAGCCACTCATTCCCTGGGAGTGTGGGGTCCCAAAAGGAGCACTTTGAGCCCCAGGAGCCAGCTGGGAGTAGGGAGAGCCCAGAGCTTTGCTGCTTGTCTTTACTATCCTGATAGGAAAGTGCCACCAGACACCTCTGCAGAGGCCATTCCCCTGTGCCACTGAGGATAGTGCAGGAGGAAGACCCAGCATGGAAGCAAATGATCAGCTCTTGCAGGACCCCAGCATCTTGCCTGGGTCTCTTTTCACCCCCAGTCCCTCTAGGGAACAAACCTCTCCCAGAAATAGGGCACATGGGTGCAGCTGCCATGCAGCAGGGGACAATCTCTGGAACCAAGCCAAATCCACAGCATAGGAAACCATCTATCCACCTTTGTCACCCATAGGGGTTGCCACCTATGTTCCCTTGGAAATTCAGGGCAATTTCATGTTTGCATATGAAAGGACCCTTGATGAATCTTGGGGAGAAGATCTCCAGGAGACTTAGATGGAGGCTTTTGCAGGGGCTGTCCCTGCTTGATTCCCAGCAGTCGGTAGCAGCAGCATTCTGGAAAAAAGCCCCGTTGCTCTGGGTGTTGCCTTCTTGCCACACTCTGCGGGGCCGCTCAGCGGGGGCTGCTTCATGCCCTGCCCTGGCTCTGAGCATCTCCTCCCCATGTCATGTTCCCAGTGTCTTCAGCCCAGCACTGCGATTTCTCTGCCTAATGAGCCATTTATATATATTACAAGTGGTATGTTTGGCCTTCATCAGTCCAATTAGTGCATTCCTGGAGGGCTGGAGTGGGGGGGCTGGTGGCGGCTGTGTTTCCGTATTGCCGACTGCCTGCTCCTCTCCAGCAGCAGACACCAAACTGCTGGGCCAAATTCCCCATGGTGTTTCTGGCATTTCATTAACCCCCTGGCTGCAGGAGGCACCTCCAGAGCATCAGAGCTCCCAGGCATCCCCAACAGCCCCTGCCCTAGGAACAGCCTTTTTTTTCCTGCCAGCCAGGGCATCCCAGCTCCCTCACCCAAGGAGGGAATCGGTGTGGGGCAGAGAGGGGCCCCACATCTTGGGACACCCATTAGTCACAGCACCAGCCAAAATGCAGAGGGATAAAGCCACAACCAGAGAGGGAAACCAATCTGCCTCCATCCAGAAGGGCAGAAGTCTTAATGAGGCACTGAGGATGCAAGAAGAATCAGGGAAGACAGCAGCAGGCATTGGCAAGGGTAAATTTAAGGCACAAGGGTGTCACTATATTTTATTTTTCAAAGGAAGATTCTTTCAGCGTATTTTTATAGGGAATTTCTCTGTGGCAATTGATATTTCCCTCAGGGACACATCTTCTCTAGTGAAAACGTCGACATCGTGACCCGAGAGGGAGAAACTCCAAACAAACAACCAGGATTTAATTACCAGCCTGCTAGCTGGATGTAAATGATCTACAAAAAAGTATACAGTCCCCAGCAGCAGCAGCAAATATTAACCAGGGATGATGACCTCTCTGTTTAGTTTACTGCTGAAGAGCTGCCTCTGCTCCCTGTGGCTGGGGGCATGGGACCCGTCTCAGATAAGGGGCTGTGGATACCTCCAGTGAGGAGAGCACAGCTCTCCCGGGGCATCCTGCGCTCCAGGGCTGTATCCAGGGATGCTGGGGGCAGTGTTGGGGCTGGCCCCATGGCTGGAGCATCCTCAAGCCAAGACACAGGGTACTGGGAAGATTTTCCAGCACTTCATGAGTGCTGCGCTGCAGGTCCTGCACTCTGGGGCTGAAGGTGAGGAATGGGAGCCCCCACCGTGGCTCTTGAGTCCTGGCAGAGGTGACAGCCACCAGCCCCACACAGAGCAGCTGGCTGGAAATGCCTCCTTCCCACAGATTTCCTTTAAAAAAGGCATTTTCTGTGGAAGAGGCTGTGTCCCACGTGCTGGCACAGCCTCGTTTGCGCATCAGGGCTGAAATGCCTTTTTCCTTTGCTTCTGGTGATGGCACTCCTGTTTTTCAGTCTGAAACACTATTTCATTTCAAAACAATCTTTCAGATTTAAAAGCAATTCTAAAGCACCACAGTATATTTCAAAGGGATTGAAACCAGATGGAGCCCGAATTACTTGTTTTCTTTTTTTTGCCCCAGAATGCTGTTACAAAAAAAAAAAAAAATTCAATTGGGTTTTTGTCCCCAAAGCAGGGTACGTGTTTTTTCTCGAAATTCCCAAAATTTATCATCGGAAAGTGTCTCTCTTTTCTGGCCAGCTCCAGCTTGTATGAGAGGATGGAAAATATCTGGAGGCAATGTCAAGGCATGCTGAGTTGCCATTTCCATGTTGGCTTTCCCTGGTGTGAACGAGTTTCCGCCTGTTTGTTCAGCTCTGGGAAATTTCCCTTTCAGCCCCAGACCCTCCCCAGCAGGCACGTCCTGAGGGTCTCTAGGTGACAGGGATGGAGTCAGAGAAGGGTCTTTTCTTGCTGAGGCCAAGCAAGCCAGGGACAGCATTCCAACACCTCCAGGACCCCAGGGGCCCTTGAGCAAATGACTGTTTTCCCCAGGCATGTGCCGGGGGGCTGAGGACTTCATCACAGCCTCAATAGCGGTGGCTTGGCTGGAGCAGTGGAGGCTGCCTGGTGGTGTTCATCACATTCCTCTGCCGAAGCTTATTCAAATTCAAATCCCCTGGGGAAAGCAGGCAGGGTGCTGGGAACTGCCTGGGAGAGGTCGTAGTTGAGACAGGGGTTGGGGATGGGATGTGTAGGAGAAGGAGATGGATCAGTGCTGGAGAAAATGGCAAGGAAAAAGGAAAGGAGAGGGTTTCCAGGGAAAATGGAAGTGTTTTCTGCAGGGATTGCAGTGTTTTAAGACACAGATAAGGCTGTGTTTTAAAGGGATGCACATAGAGACTACTGAATGTGCTAATATGACAATAGAGCACCCTGGCTCATCACTCCTCTTCCTCAGCCCTCTGGGTGCATGGTCAGAGTCCCAGCAGTGCCTGGAACCACAGCTCTGGAGCCAGACAGAGAGCCCAAGGTGGAAGGGACAGGACTAAGCTTGTCCAAGGCAGCCCAGGGGACAGAAATTACAGCTGCTGCTTTGAGCTGATGCAAAATCAAAAGGCAGGAACTCCTCTAGGTCCTTCACACAGATGGATCAGTGTTTCATCCATGGGAAGAGGTGAGGGAAGCATCTCAGGTACCACCAGCTCTGAGTGGGAATAACACAGCCCAGGGCTGATTTTTACACCCCTTCTTCTGCACTGCCACCCCATCATCTCATCCCACTTCCCAAATGTGCTCCCACCCTGCATTCTCCCCTTACACCTGCTCTTGGCATCTGCCTCACAGGCCCCTCCAGGCAGAACAGGCAGACACTGACTGGTGAGTCCTGGCAGGGGACAGCCTGGGCAAGCACAGGCAGGGCTGTGAGCTCCTGGATAGAGAGGATGATTCCAATCCCAGCCTGACCTCCCCAGGGAACACACAGCAGGCTCTCCAGCCTCACCTCTTCTTTCTGCTAACAGATTGAAACTGAGGACCAGGAGCTGGCAACCTTCTGTGGCAGGGAGACAACGGACACAGAGCAGGCTCCAGGACAGCAAGTGATCCTGTCCCCAGGGCCCTACATGGGGCTTACCTTCAGGTCTGACTTCTCCAACGAGGAACGCTTCACTGGCTTTGATGCCCATTACACCGCTGTGGGTAAGCAGCATTTGAGCCTGCAGGGCCAGCTTGCTGGGATTGGGAACCAAATTTGCTGGGACCACATCTCAGGTCAGCCTTGGGTTCCCTGGGAAGAGAAGAACTCGTGTGCAGCCCTTGGGCTGTGCGGGACTCACTGGGTGCACATGCGACCCGCCACATGGGGTAACAGATTTCTCAGTGTTGTGACAAATGTCCCCACAAAGAGTGACGTGTGGAGAGCTTCAGGGTGACCTCCCTTCCTTGTTAACTCCATTCTAGATGTGGATGAGTGCCAGGAGAAGAGTGATGAGGAGCTGGCTTGTGACCACTACTGCCACAACTACATTGGCGGGTACTACTGCTCCTGCAGGTTTGGCTACATCCTCCACTCCGACAACAGGACCTGCAAAGGTACCACGGGCACAGCCCAGACCCAGGGATGGGCACACAGAGGGCCCCTGAGTAGGCATCACACCTTCCAATCACAGGCAAAACAGCCCTTTTTGTGCTGCCAGGAGGGATGAGGTGCTTCTTCCCGTACAAACCAGTAGTCTGGGACTCCTTCTCCCAGGGGCTGTACTCCTCAGCTAAGCTCTATAGATCTCCTCAAGTCAGAAAAATGAAAAGCTTTATTCCCTGCTCTGAATCTGCATCATATAGATTAGCTGGGACTAGCTCTCAGCCCAGGGCTTCTGTGCCATGGCATATTTGGAAGTTGGCTTTGAGGTTTTCCTTGTATGGACATATATTTGGGGTCCATGTACCCATATTTGGAATCCATGGGTCCACCCAACAGACCCCACTCCACTGGGAGGATTCCTGAGTATAGTCATGGCTGGGGCATGACTGTCAGGGCCCTGATGGAGCCACAACTGTGTTTCAGTGGAGTGCAGTGACAACCTCTACACCCAGAGGAGCGGGGTGATCACCAGCGCCGACTTCCCCAGCCCCTACCCCAAGAGCTCGGACTGCCTGTACCGGATCGAGCTGGAGGAGGGTTTCTTCATCACCCTGAATTTTGAGGACAGCTTTGATGTGGAAGACCACCCCGAGGTGACCTGTCCATATGACCACATCAAGGTGAGCTGGGCTCTGCACACTCCTCTTGTGATCACCTTTCATGTCCCCAGTCTAAACAGGCATGACATAATCAGCAGGAGCCTTGTGCTCTGCTGACCCCACATCTTCCTGTGACCCTTCTAACCAACAGTAACCCTCTTTTTGTTCACATCCCTTTAACACATGGTGCTTGAGCCCCACTCCAGCCCCATGCTTTGGTCTCAGGGATTAAAGAGCCCCCTTAAATCACTCACTCATCTTTGTCTCGGCAGATCAAAGCAGGACAAAAGGAGTTTGGACCTTTTTGTGGAGAAAAGTCCCCAGGACTCATTGAAACCCAAACCAACAGTGTGCAGATCCGCTTCCACAGTGACAACTCCGGAGAGAACAGGGGCTGGAAGTTGTCATACACAGCAATTGGTAACTCCTGCTGCTTTCCTTTGTTTGCTGGGCTTGGGAATGGGAAGGGCTTTATAAAGCCTGCAGGTAGACACCACGAATTTGGTAGTCCATGATCCTGTCTCTAGAAAGGATCTGTTCCAAAAATCACAATAGGAGAGGCATAAAATAACACTAAGCCCTTCCTTCAAAGGATTATTTTTTTTCCTACAGCAACTGGGCTCTGAAACAAGACCATATTGCAGAGCAGAGCGGTTTTGGGCAGGATAATTGCACAAGCTACTGTTATTAGCTCCCAGATTTTGTAATTCTCAAAGATAGAGAATTACAGACTGAAGGAAAGTCATGGAGCCTCCATGTCTTTTAAAAGAGCCTGGCTGAGCTGTGCCAATGTAGATTAAGGGTAAAAGCAGGGCAGAGATGCTCAAATTCTGCTACATGGGCTGGGTAGAAGAGCTAGAACTTTATGTTTGCTCCATTTATTCCTCTGTTTAGCCTCATTTGTTTTCTATTTGAAGGTAACCCATGCCCACTGGTGCAACCACCAATCAATGGGAAAATTGAGCCTTCTCAAGCCAAGTACACCTTCAAAGACCAGGTTGTCATCAGCTGCAACACTGGATACAAAGTGCTGAAGGTATGGATTGACAACATGGAGCTGGGAATATGGGTAGGAAGAAGAGGATACTTCCTCTCAAAGCCATTGCATCTTTGGGAGAGTGAACACAATCACACATCATCCTCATCCCCTTCCCAGGGGCAAGGAAAACACCTCCTCTGAGAGCCAACACTTTTCCTTTCCAAAGATGCAGAGGGAAAGAGGAGATAGCACTTCCCTGAGCCACCCTCTCAGCATCCCCCCGGAGCAAGCAATCTCATGGTTGTTGAATGTCAGTCCTGGCACCCCTGCCAGAGGAAAAAATCAGCAAAACCTCTGAGGTAGCTGCCAGGGCTCTGCCTGCCCCCCACCTCAGTGGACACTGTCTCAGCAGCCCTGCAGAGGCCAGCCTCCTCTGACTGGGAGGTCCTCGGGGACTTGGGGACAGCCTCAGTGAGTCAAGGGGGCAAGATTTTGGCAGGCTCTCCTAGGAAACAGCTGAGAACCACAGAGCATGGCTGACTCATGGGGTGGCTGTCTTCCCTCCAAGCCAGTAGCCCACTTTGACTTCCAACGTGGACTTGGGTATTTCTCTGATCTCCTCCCAGTCCTATCCTTCATGCAGAGCTGCCTCCTTACCCATCTCATCATTTACAACAGGAATAAGTGACTCCAGTTCTTTGGCTTTCAGTGTGCCACTGAGTTGCTGGCAGCAAGAAAATGCCTCAAGTTTTTCATTACGATTTATTGCAATTTTTAACTAAAAGAGCCCTCTTCCAGGGGACACTAGCTATAACCTGACTAAATCACTAAGAAATTCCCTTTTTATTGAGAGATTTATTTCTTTTCTTGAACATTGATAGGTTTTTTTTGGTTTTTTGGTTTTTTGTTGGTACCTTCTGCACAGGATAATGTGGAAAGTGACTCCTTCCAGATCGAGTGTCTGAAGGATGGCACGTGGAGTAACAAGATCCCTATCTGCAAAAGTAAGGACACCCTTCCCTACCCTGCCAATGTCCTTCTCCTGCTAAAATCATTTCATGCTAATGGGAGTTGCCCTGCCAGAGTGGAGTTCCTTACTCAGAGACACAAACCCAGCCAGAGAGGCTACGTAACCCTGCAAAGCTCTTTTGGCTTGTACTTGGATAACATAACAGGGCTCAGGCCAAATGCCACAAGCAGGAGATTGGTGCTTTTATTTAGGTTACTCATATAACTTGATTTGTGAGCCACTTTGCTGTCTCCTTGTCAAAGAAAGAGCAAGCCTGGCTCTTGAGAACTGGCTCTGTCAGGTAAGCCTGGGACAATGGGGGATAATCTAGTTCCTGCTCCAAATTTCCTTCCAAATGAAGGCTGTTAAAATGCAGGGCATTAGAGAGGTCCCAGGTACTAACCTAAACTGAGCACTGCTCAGGTAAGTGAGAGGGGAGAGAAAAATGTCCAAAGATTTACAAACCTTGAAATGGGAGAAAATGGAAGAAGAAAATAATGCCATTTGAAAGGACAGGTGATAATTTGAATCACCTCTTCCTTCATCTAGCCCAGCTCTTCTCTCAGCTCAGGTGTGGGAGATGTACCTGGTCACACCTTTTCCCCAAACTTCTCAGAGCTCAGGGAGCCTCTCGCTGCTGTTCAGTGCTGTAAGTCTGGCCCAGAGAGAAGAAAAGCAGCAAACATGGTCAGAGATTGTCCCAGGTCCTTCCAGGAGAGGCAGGGGGGGATGCTTTCTAGGGGTGTTGGGATCCAGATTCTTTTCATCTGGGCAGACTCTTTTAATAATTGTGCACCTTACCTTGGAAGAAAGAGCATTTCTGGAGTTCTAATTCATGTTTTCTCAAGCCAAATGGAAACTGGGAGGTTTAATAGATTGAAAACTGAAAGGGCTCCTTAAAACTGTTGGGTCAGTGATGCCTCTGCGCTACTGAGGAACTCCCCACTCCTACACTCTCACTGCCACAGATTCCTATTGATTTTATCCAGCTTGAACAGTGATCAGAGAAAAATTTGCATTGTCTAAAAATTAGAAAAAAATCTAGGTAAATATTTTAACACCATTTTTTTTTTTTTCATAAAATTTAAATTATTACCTGCATTCTTCCAGCTGTGCTGGAAGTAATCCCTTCTTGTGTAATATGACTTACTACACTAAATTTCTAAGACCTCTTTGGAAAGCCAAGAAGCCCCTAAATGGGCAATTTAGGCCTCCAGACTGCAAAGATTCCCACCTCCCTGGGATGTCTGTGCGAGGCAGGGCACAAACAATGCAGAAAATAGAAAACTTCTTAGCAAAGTGGATAAAATCCAGCTCCATAGCCTGGAGAAGCTAAACAGAAACCTGTGATAGCTTCTCCCAGCCACCTCCCCCAGGTTGCCCTGGCAGAGCGGAGTGAGGGGGTCCCCAGCAGGGCCATGGCTCCGCTGGCATCCACGGCACCCTGGCACAGCTCACTGGGAGCTCATTAACGATTTCTGGTGGTTTGGGGGCTGGGTTTCCTGCATGTCTCTCTCTGCTCATCTACTAATTGGGCTTTCTTTCTCTGCTCTCCTCCTTCCCCTCTGCTTTCGGTGCAGCTGCAGATAGAGCCGACAACCAGACAGAGGGAAGAGCCGGCTCGGAGCAAGTGGCCGCGTGAGGCTGGCGCCGGCCGTGCCGCCCCGACGGGCAGCCTGTCTCCGTGCCCCTCTGATCTGTCCAGTACCCAGGGCAGGTTCCCTTTCCACTGGCCTGGCTGCCAAATCCATCTCTGTGGCTTGTCTAACCGGCATGGCACTCTTAACCCCCACGCCTGGTGCTTTCTTAACTCCGTCTCGAGAGGGGCGAAGGAAATTGGCATCGAGCCCCCCTGTCCCACTGACACACTGCCCCAGGGGAAGGGGGCCCACCTGGCCCCAGCACTGCTGCCTGGGCACCGTGGGCTGCTGCCAGCTCCCTGCATTTCTGCATCCCTCCCTCTCCCTTCGGACTCCTGGGCCGCCCTGGCTCCCCCTCCAAGGCAGCCGTGCAGGGACTGTGGCACGGCCGCCCGGTTGGTTGGTTGGTGGGTTGGATTCAGTCTCCCACTGTCCTTCCTCACTGGCCCAGCGTTACAAATAAGAAACACTCCTTCCTCTCCTCTCTCCAAGAGTCCTGGTGCCTTTCAGACCCTCCAGACAAGGAGGCCTGGAGGATGGGTTGGCATCCCCAGCCCTTTCCTGCAGGCACCGAGCCCTGGCACTGAGACAGGTGGATGGATGTTCCTCTGCTTCCCCTTTGCTCCCCACAGCTGGCCTGGCAGAGGTGAGGACAGACTGGCCTCAGGCTGACTGCAGCTGAAGGAGGTCAGAGCCTGGTATCTGGCCCCATTCACATCCCCAGGAACCATGGGCATACACCCTGTGCTCTCTGGGGCATTGGAGGCTCCACTAAGAGGATGCTGGGATGTGGACCACAGACTGGGAGAGGAGGAGGAGGAAGAGGTGTGTGTTGGGGATGTCAGTCCACCTCTGGTCCTACAAAGAGATGCTAAATGGCCCTTTTCCTGAGGTAAAACTCTAGAAAGGCTCACAGAAGGAATGACCTCCCCTCACCCTTTCAGCAGGACCTGGGACGGTGGTGCAGCAACACCTCTCTGAAAGAGCCCATTCTCCAGGGATCAGGCCTGCCCAGGTCTGAGGGACGCAGGGATGAGATGGGCTGTGAGGGCCATTGAATGCTGCCCTGCAGCCCTAAACAATCCCAGAGCAGAGATGGTCAGGATGGTCCCCTGACATTCATGCCCTCTTTCCTGCAAGGAAACAGGTACCCAGAGTCTTCACCCAGCCTGCCTGCACCTACACACTAATCCCATCACCTGCTGTCTCTACAGACAGTGGAGGGGACCCTGGTAAATTGTGAGCTGCAGTATTTTGCCATAAATCAGGCTTTTTTCACCCAAGGAATTAGCAATCCTGAGCAGTGGTACATATCCCTGTTTCCAGCTACTGTGTCTATGTCATTCTCTCTTTGTTAGCCTGGATCAGTTAGGACTGCTGTCCTCATTCCTGTCACATCCTGGAGCACGTGGGAACCAACAGACCTCACATCATCCCTGATCCACAGGATCTGCTTGTTGCAAAGTCACTGTTTTCCTACTCGACCCCTCAGCCTAAACATAGCAGAACCCAGCTCCACAGCACTGCATTTTTTGGCAGGATCAGACCCTGGTTCCTGCCCTCCACTGGGGCAGGTCACCCAGGATGGGGTAGGGGAAGGCTGCACAGCATCACCTGAATGTGCTGTGAACTGCCCACGTGGCAGGGAGGCTCGGTTCCAAGGAGGTGACTCCTGGATTTGGTAGATGAATCCTCCCACAGCCTGGGGTCCTCCCTGGGGTGTCTGGCACAAACCTAATAGTGGGGACAAGCCATGGGGAGAGGCTGGGAAGGGCACTCTGAGGGATCATGGGAAGAAAGGGAACCATGGACAGGCCATGGGGAAGGGCAATGGCACCCCAAAATTCTTCTCCCTCCATCACACCCTGAATCAATACCGAGGACTGGTAAAGCAGAGCCAACCCTGCTGATGTCTTGGGGGATGGAGCAGGTTTGGTCTCACCCACGTGCACTGGCCCTACCCCTGTCTGCAGACCAGCCAAGCCATACTCTCAATGTCCTTCATCTCCTGCTGTCATGGGACAGCCAGGATCAGGGGTTGTTCCACCTGATCTGTACATGCTCACAGCACTGTTTGGTGAGCAAGACCAGAGCAGGAAGGACAGGGCTGTGCCCTCAGCAAAGCCTTGTGCATAGAGAAGCACCCCTGAAGCACAGCTGGTGAGCCACTGCCTGCCTCTCCCTGCACACTTCTTCAGTGCAAAGACACACTGGGACCATCTCACAACACACCTCACCTGCCAGGACAGGCTTCTTCCCCTCTCACTGGTGCAGCAGAGAGCTCTTGATCCCTCATGGAGGGGCTCCCGAGCCTGAGGTCTCCAGCAGAGAGTGGTGTTGGTCACAGAGCCTGCAGGTGGGACACACTGCTGGTGTTCCATGGTGCCACTCATGTGCTCTGTCTGTGCAGGGTGGCTTTGGGGGGTTTCACAGAACCAGGCTGCCAGGACAGAGCCTCCTGCAGTGCCATCGAGAAAATGGACACAGCACCACACAGGCCCTTGGTCTGCCCCACAAGACCACCATGCCATGCCAAAGCCCAGCACCACCTGCCTGCTGGCTGGCTGAACACCCCAAGATGCAGCACAGGGTTCAACCCCCCTTCTGTGTTGGCTTTCAGTTGCTGACTGCAAAGCGCCGCCGGAGCTGGAGCATGGCTTTGTCACCTTCTCCACCAGGAACAACCTGACCACCTACCAAGCAGCCATCCAGTACCACTGCCAGCACCCCTACTACCACATGGCCCCCAACAGCACTGGTGAGCAGTGGGGCCAGGCCACGTCCCCACGGCACAGTGAGGGTGGGCACACGGGATGCATGCGGGGCAGCTTGGGATGGCAGCTCCAGGGTGTTCTGCAAACAGTAGGCTGTGGATGTAGCTACACACACCAAGCCCTGTGTCTGCCTTGTGACTGTCAGCCGGGACAAATCCTGCTCCACAATGAGGTAGGATGGAGTTGGCCCTGCCAGCTGCTTTGCCTGAGTGTTTCACAGCCTAGGCAGAGCAGTGTGGGTGTTTGTTTTGCATTCTGCCTTCTTACCCTGCCATCTGCTCTCTGCAGACTACAAAATTTTCTGTTGTCTCTGTGAAAAGAGCTGCTGTTGGAAAAAGCACCAGGTCCAGCAGCCTCTGGAAGGGTTCTGCAAGGCTTCTAATCCCAACACCCAAATGTTCAGCACAGACAAAGCTGAACAGATAGCAGTGGGATCATATCAGACTGAGTTTTTCCTGCCATTCCCCCTTGGTCCACAACCACAGAAAAACCACAAGGTGGTTTATCAAGCACTACAGTTCTCTGTACCCTTCAGACCCAGTTCTGGACAGTAGAAAGGGTGCGTACACAGCCCAGCCCTTCTCCTTTCTCCTCCCTCAGCAACCAAAGCCAAAAGAATTCCTCACATTCTTGTTTTCCTGCTTTTATCTCCCTGCATATGGTCCTACCATCACATATGAATTAGCAGAATGGGCATTGGCAGCATTTTTATATGGAGGCAGCTGCCAGCCGAGGCTGAGGCTATAGCACACCCCTCCAGACAACTCAAGGCAATGAAACTGAGGATGGAGACATACCCCTGCATGGGGGCTACCATGACCCCAGGAATGGAGCACGGAGGGCATTAAAAGGGAGGTCACTTCCTGCTGTGAAAATTAGTTCAAAGGGCCATGACAGCGGGGCAAGGTCTCCTCTCTGGAAAGGACAATCCCCCATGCCAGGATCAGAGCCCAGCTAACACTTTGCTCTCTTGCAGCCACCTACACGTGTGATGCACTGGGGCAGTGGAGGAGTGAGGAGCTGGGGACCAAGCTGCCATCCTGCCGACCAGGTACTGCGCTGGGGTGGCTTCAGCACAGCAGGGAGGGGATGCTGCCCTGCAGGAGCCCTGCTCCTGGCGACAGTGCCAGCTATACGTACCCAAGTGCCACAATGCGTGGCCAGGAGGGTGGTGGGGATGGAGGCTTCCTGCTACCCCAGCAGGCCTAGGTGGTCAGGGTGTGGTGGTGACACTGGGGTCACAGCCATCCCAGCTGTCAGGGCTCCCCAAGCTCCCCACTGCAGCACACAAGAAAACCAGCAGCCCACTGGCCAGGCTCAGCCCCCAGCATGCCTGGAGATGATTTTAGCCAAGAGCAGAGCATTACCTGGCTGTCAGCTCCTGTTGGCAGTGTGTACGCATCCAGTAGCAATTATCACCTCTTCAAGCCTTCCAGAAAAAAACAAACGGATTTACAAGGAAGGAAATGTCCTAAGTCTTTCAGCAGTGGTAGAAATGTTTGCAGCGAGCAAGTTTCCAGGCCAAGCACCTGCTTGGGATTAAACAAAAGTCTCCGGGAGTTTCTGGCCATAGCCAAGCATGGGGCCAGGCTGGCTGGCACGTCAGGGGCCTGGAGGCAGCTTGGGTGTGGATTTGTGGATTGTAGTGGGATGTGCAGGGATGGCTCTCCAGAGAGGTGCAGGGATCCGGCTGCCGTGCAGCAGCTGCAGCTGCAACCACACTGGGGTTCAGACACTGGCCCAACCCCATGGAGGGCATGTGCTCTCCAGCCATGCTGAGACACTCTAAGGCTAGAGGAAGGACTCCTAAGATTCCCTGCATCCCACAAAACTCCAAGACCAGTGCTGTGGCTGCTCTTGTTGTGGCAGCTGCTCTCTGCATCTCTGCTTGATGTTTCAGCCTGAACTAATTTGAGCTGGGAGCATACGGGGACAGCTTTGGGGCCATAGCTGCTTTCATGGGCCATTTCCAGGCCCTGTGATTAGTGACAGGAGTCAGAGAGACTTCAGGAAAATGGAAAATCCCAGAGAGAGGGTGACGCTCTCCTGAGATCGGCATCTGCAGGCAACAGCTGGCCAGCTGCTCTTCAGATCTTTCCCTGTGTCTCACGCACCTCCCCATCAATAGGAACCTCTCTTCCAGGAACTTCTGCTCCATGCCTGCCTCTGCCATTAGTGGGAGCATTTGAAGCCTGGTCAGCATTTTTGATATGTAATTTAATAGAATAAATATTTGGCTGGATGCATTTCCTCTAAAAGCATCTCCCTGGGACAGCCATCAGCTTCGGTGCAGCAGAGCAGCTGGGCTGGGACACAGGAATTTTTTTCCTGAGCATGTTTTTTATTCCTTTCAGCACTGGGAAAGACAGGAGTGTGAAGCACATGCAGAGACACATTCACCATGTTTCCTCTCTAGAGGGAGGGAGTTACATTTTTCGTAGAGACAGATCCCATCCTCAACAAATCCACAGTAGCAGTTTCCAGTGCTCCTGCCCTGGTTCCAAGACTGATTCTCGCCCTGACCCCACCACCCTGAGGGATCAGAGCCTCTGTTTGTGGGGCTTTGCATCCACCCCTCTCAGCACAGGTGGCATTGAGGCAGAGTCCTGGCACTTTCCATGGAGTATTTGGGTTTTTTTTGCAGACTGAGAGGGATGAGACGAGCACCTGAGTTGCTGTGATTCAGGACTCTTTCAGATGTAGGACAAGCCC